TCAACACAGCAGATTTCATAAATATTAGATTACACTGATATCGAAGGAACTAGACTCAGTTCCGAAATATCGCTTACTCGAACCGTCCTGACCGCGTAGCTCAGTTGGAAGAGCATTGGGCTAGTATTCCAAAGGTCGTAGGTTCGAATCCCGCCGTGGCCAGGCATATTTTTCAAGCCTGCCCGGTGTGGATATACACTCAGAGTAACATCACACAAACATCTTATTCACCTGAGTACATTACACCAACACAGCAGATTTCATAAATATTAGATTACACTGATATCGAAGGAACTAGACTCAGTTCCGAAATATCGCTTACTTGAACCGTCCTGACCGCGTAGCTCAGTTGGAAGAGCATTCGGCTAGTATTCCAAAGGTCGTAGGTTCGAATCCCGCCGTGGCCAGGCATATTTTTCAAGCCTGCCCGGTGTGGATATACACTCAGAGTAACATCACACAAACAGGAGGGGAGATGTTACAAAGAGCATGCGCATTAAGAAACTTATGAACATCCCACAATCTTTAGTGTAATGTTAGTCATGTAAATATGTAGATATGTGTGAATAAATAATTGTATTTTTGTGTGACTTAAATCGTGGTAACACCATGAATTCATACAGGTCACAATCCTCGGAATATTATACATGTGTAAGTTTCAAATTAATCTTGGCCGGTTCTCGTTAAAATCTTTCAGGAAACACATGTAAGTGCTTTTCATTATACTATTATATAAAGATATAACGTAATAAATTGACAACACAGGATTTTCTAATGATTTTCAATATACTATTTATATAAAGATATATCGTAATAAATTAATAACACAGGGTAAGATTGGGCCGCCTGTACTCTTAGTTTCATCGCATTCAATTCCGACGTATAGTCTCCCGTCTTGGTGATATTTGAACTTAGCGACAATTGGCCGCGGTTTGCTTGCTCCCGGTTTTGGTCATGCCCATCTTCTCTTCCAACAGCTTATGAATGATTGGTGTTGTTTCCTCGTCTCTAGTCTCTGGGATATTGTAGAAAATTAAATTGTCACGCATTGACCTAGCTTGAAGGTCAATGAGGCTTTTGTTTAGAAGTGTATTCTCATTTTCCAGCTTCTCTAATATTAATCGTTGTCTTGTACGTTCATCCATTTTCTTTCGTTCTGAACAGAAATTCTTGCATATAATTTTACAAATATACTCGCGTTGTAAAGTTTCATTGTACGATACCTTTCGACTTTGAAGTAAGTTGGCAATTATTGAGACGTTGGTTTAGTTGTATGAATGAATTTCTGATCGATACATTGCTGTTCAGCAAGTAGCAACACGTAGCGTTGAAATTCATCAGACCATGTCAAGTACAACATCTCTCGCTTCAAAGTTCAAACGCTTCGCAATCTTCAAGTATTCAGGTCGAGAATCTTCAAAACTACTTTGGTTCTCTGTTTAGCGGGATTTCCATTTCAAATTTCGTATATTTTATCAAAAAGTCTCTGTATTTTCGCTGTATATTTTCGCGAATTTGCGATCAAATTCTGTAACATTCACATTTGTTGTTGTTTTCAGTAGCGTGGAGTGGCGATTCTCCGATTGGTTAATTCACGATTGTTGTGAGAACTGCACATTTCATCAGTAAGTTAACCGTCGTTTTACTGTAGTAATTTTATAAAACAATTACCAAATGGTTTTCCCGTGCAGGATAGCATGATGCATGCACTTGGGATGTTGCTCGACTTTCGGAAAGCGTAAAAATACACTCGCCTACGGCTCGTGTATTTTCACGCTTTCCGAAAATCTCGCAACATCCTGTGTGCATGGATCACGCTATCCTGCACGGAAAACCATTCGTTATTCCGACATCTCCGAAATGTGGTAAACCGTGAAAGAAAAGTGCTTCGTAGTAGATATTACACCTCTAGAGTTGCGAACCTCAAGAATACCAAACCGAACCAGTGGTGGAACGAGGTTAAAAAGATTTCAGGAATGATCCCTGCTGCATCGACCGGTGATATTCGTTCACAACTTCACATCAGTGGCATCGATGGAATGTCCAGTAAGGATATCACTGTCCTGATCAACCCCGCACTTCTCGAACCTATGCAAACATACCAACCACTTGATTGTCTTCCTCCCATAGATGGAAATCCTGAGGTACTAAAGCTTGATGCTTATTCAGTCTATTCAGCATTACTAACGTTGAACCCTCGCAAAGCGTCGGAACCAGGCGGGGTGCCAAACTGACTGCTTAAATAATGCCGACTTCCTTGCAAACCCCGTTTGTGATATCCTGAACAGCTCTTCCGACGAACAAGCGCTTTTGGCATCCTGGAAATACGTAATTGTTACACCACTGCCAAATACGAAACCAGTTACCATAATTGCCAGCATATTAGACCAATTTCACCAACTCCGACTCTATCAAAGTTAGCTGAGGACTTTGTCGTAAGAAATTATGTTGGCACTGCCGTTCTTGAGAACATCGATCCTAATCAATTTGGTGCAGTACCGAAATCATCTACTACTCAGGCTCTTATTTCCATGATGCACACATGGGCTTCTGCCACTGATGGAACAGGTGCAACAGTGAGGGTCGTGTGACTAGATTACAGAAAATCTTTTGATCTGATCGACCATCGCATTCTACAGGGCATCTAAAAAAACGCTATGGAAATTCAACAGGCTGTCGTGCATCATAAACGAGGCTAAACAATTGAATTTTTACATACGACGAAAGAACAGTCTTGTAGGTTTACAATGATACTCTTTTTAAATCGTAACGGTGAGAAATGGCCACATACTCGTCAAATAAAAATTGCGGGTCGAAATCACATTCTTCCACAATTGGGAATTGCATGAAAAACGAAACATAGACAATTGCCAAGAGGGAATTAAATTGAATGTTAAATGATCTTAAATAAGCTCAACTCGTCAATCTTTGTCTTATACCTGGTTCAAACTGCTCGTAATTCGTCGGCGATCTATTGTGTTCTTCAGTTCCTAGATCATAATTTCTTCTAAAATCCATGTAAATTGTCATTGAAAAGCCCATTTTAGGGAATGGCAATTAATAAATTCAAATTCAAACAAAGCATTTTACACACCAATGACCATGCACAGACAATGGAAATCCCCGATCTTACGACCAGTGTGAACCCAGCATAAATCAGACAATAACTCAATAAGAACGTCCATTGAACATGGTTCAATTAACCCGTGAACAGAGAACATTCGTAATCAAAACCTTTTACGAAACATATAGCTTGAAGTAGGCTCGCGTTGCTTTTGGATTGACTAACTTTGCATAATTAATTCCCGACGGTGGAAGAATGTGATTTCGACCGGCAATTTTTATTTGACGAGTATGTGGCCATTTCTCATCGTTACAGTTTAAAAAAGGTATCATAGAAAAGCTAAATAATAACTCTTTCGTCCTATGTAAAAATTGAATTGTTTAGCTAAGTTTATGATGCACGACAGCCTATTGAATTTCCATAGCGTTTTTTAGACACCTGTAGTTGACAAGATCCTTTCTCTTCAAATGCCGCGTGGTGTAGCTCGCTGGGTGTGTGACTTTTTGTTGAACAGGTTCCAACGTGTCAAACTGTCCAACGATTGTTTCTCGGAATGGGGTGCAGTTCCATCTGGTCAGGGTTTGATACTGGGGCCCTGGCTGTTCCTATTAATGCATGATAAATGACCTCAACCCACCTGATGTGCACTCTTGGAAATATGCGGATGACACCACTTTGGCTGAGGTTGTTCCACAGAATGGTCAAACCAATATTCAGAACGCCGTAACTGAAGTTGAAAAATGGTCTAACATCAACAAGCTCCAGCTGAATGCTGACAAGTGGAAGGAAATGGTCATTGATTTCAAGAAAGAGAAGCATCAGTTCGATACCATCACTGTGAACTGCAAAGAACTTTAGTTAGTGAGCAGCGCCAAAGTATTAGATGTTACCATATCCAACTCCCTACAATGGGTCGACCATATAAATAATCTTATAAAGAAGGCAAATAAACGCTTGTATTTCTTGGTTTTGCTCAAGCGCGCTGACGTGCCTGCTCATGATATCATCAGCTTCTACAACACTTGCATCAGATCCGTACTTGAGTATTGTGCGCCCGTTTTTCATCATGCTCTCCCAGGATATTTGTGTGACGATATCTTGAACGCGTTCAAAAACGTGCGCTATCGATTATATCTCCGTGATTATCCTATACCACAGATTACGTAAGGACAGATGTATAACCCAGTTCATGACAAAAGTTGTCCCACGGTCGCCATCTTCCTAGCAAGTGTCGCTCGCGTGGTATTACGTCATTTGGCAATACGTCATTGCCTTTAATTCAAAAATGCTTTCAAAACCTTTCCTACAACTTTAATTGCTTTCAACAACTTTGAACATTCAACAAATGATGCACTTGATTGTTTAATCTATAAATTTCGATAAAAAAAGCCGCAATAAAATGCAAAATTTCGTGTTTTCCGGGATGCCATCTTCCTAGCAAGTGTCATGGCGTGAGCATGAAGTGTACATCTAGGGAAATTTGAGGACATGAAGTCCTATTAAGTTACACATCTGGTATATACTTCATCTTTGCCTATACGGACAATCTTACTGTACACGATATCAGTACTTTGAAAGACAGGCGCCAGAAACTTTGTAAGAAACTTTTCCAGACAGTTGTGTCCGATGCTGATCACCAGCTTTACCATCTTGTACCGCCCTCAAAGACATCAGTATACAACTTAAGAAGACCGCGTCGTTTTGATTGTCCTGCTACACGAACAAATTGTTTTAGTAACTGTTATATTCTGTCAATGTCAAAAGAGTAGTTTATATTAACGATACCAGTGGTGTTCAGATTTGACTTCCACTACCACCCGCATGCATGCATTCCACTACAGCCCATGCATGACCGATGCTGCTATTACAGGAAGATTTGGATTTTGCAAGGGCGTCCTCGTGATTTTGAAAATAGATATTTTATGACCTATAAACAAGCAAAACGGGACTTTACGAGAGAGTTAAGGAGTACGAATCTCAAGATGTACGAATCTCAATGAGTACGAATCTCAAGAATATGAAAGATGTGAGAGTGTTTTTGAAGTTGACATTGGTACTTTCCAACGCGTTATGTCAAAAAAGCGAAAAAGTAGAGGTATCCAGTCAAGTGCCCTAAAAATTGATGGGAAATTTGTAAGTGACCCTGATGAATTACGTGAGATATGGAAAGAACACTGTTCCCAATTGTACACCCCAGTGACAAACTCAAATTTCGATGAAATCTTTACTGCGCATGTAGAAAGCAGTATACCCAAATACGAGAGGGAAAGCAAAAACGCAAGTTATGATGCGTTGGATAATCCTTTCGCTATTGAAGAAGTTAGTGCAGTATGTGTTCAGTTACCAAATGGCAAATCTCCTGGTCCAGATGGTTTGACCTACGAACATATCAAATACGGAGGTCATGCCATAATGAGCAGTCTCACAGCTATACTAAATGATGTCAGGAATATTGAAATCATGCCAAGTTCTTTACCTCTTGGAGATATTATATCTCTCTTCAAAACCAATAAAAAAATCAGACATGATAAAGACAATTATAGAGGAATAACGCTATTAAATGTTATTGGAAAGATATTTGAAAGATTCATTTTAGACAGATGGATGCCGTTCCTAGCAGAAAAAGGTTTTCCAAACAGTTTACAATGTGCATATCAGCGAGAGAAAAGCTGTTTGGATGCCAGCATGTCTTTGCAAGAAGCTGTTTTACACAATATCGAGAACGGTAGCAAAGTCTATCGCTGCTTCTTAGATTCGAAGAAAGCGTTCGATACAGTATGGATCTCTGGACTTTTCTACAAGTTGTATAACTTAGGAATCTAGGGTAAGACTTGGCGTCTGCTTTGGAACTGGTATAACAAGCTCACCAGTCGAGTTTTAATAGACGGTGTACCTTCTGCGGAATTTCCTGTCTTACAAGGTGTGCGACAGGGTGGCGTTCTTTCCTCCTGGCTTTTCATGACTTACAACGACGATCTGCCGAAAATTTTTCATCGAAATGAGAATCTTTATTTGAATAAAATTCCATGCAATCCAATCATGGTTGCTGATGATATTGCACTGTTATCTACGTGTGTTAAAGGCTTGCAAGAAATGTTGAGTTCCCTACAAAAATATAGCCTAAAATGGCATTTCGAGTTTAACCCAAGTAAAACTACTGTGATTACGTTTGGTGAAACCACACAAATGCGCAATAAAATGAAGAATACAAAGAGATGGACTCTTTTTGATGTTCCAGTGCGGGAAGAAGAGTGCTGGACTCATGTTGGTATTGAATTGTGTGGAAGCTTTTCAAGTACAAAAAGAACATTAGATGCTGATCGAAAGGGTAAATCCGTAATGGCAGGCCTTGCTAACATCGCAGTGCGTCCAAATGCACTGAACCCAATTTGTGGAGCAAACTTTATGGCGCACAATAGGAATTCCAACGACTCTTTATGGATACGGACTGTGGAACAACCTAAAACCAACGTTTCAACGCCAAACGTCTTCAGGGTCTGGATCTAAATACAAGATCAGAAGCAGTCACTGGTAGCCTAGGTTTATGGTCTATGGAAGGGGAAATGGACAAAGCTAAGTTAGCTTTTTTTGGCAGGTTATGTCACATGAATGCACAATTGATTTCAAAGCAAGTCTTTATTGCTCGCCTATTCTCGTACTTTACCGTTCCAGTGAAACAACGCTTTGGCTTAATTCCGGATATTATTCGTACACTTGAGAAGTATAACTTAACTTGCCACCTTACGACCTACATAAATGAGCAAAATTTCCCTTCAAAAGCTGCATGGAAAAGGATTGTATACAATGAAATTAAGAAATTGGAGGTCGAAAAATGGAAGAACGGTATATGCAACAAACAGGAACTTGTTTGCTACAAGGAAATTCATACAAATCTTGAACCGTTGTACATGTGGAGACTAGCGAAAAAGTATCCTAATCAGAAATCTTTGCTTGCGGTAATGTGCCTCGCATTTTTGAATCATGGACTTATATTCAAGGAACAACGCACTGTAATTTTTGCCACTCTCAACTGTGCAACATTAATTTTCACTTTATCATGTCATGCCCAAATTTTATTGATTGGCGAAATAATGTCTGGGATGAAATAACTGATAAATTACCAACAGACGTTCTAGCGAAACTTCATTCCTTGGATGATACCGATCTTTATGCAACAATCATTAGTGGACAGCTTCCTGATCAAAATTGTTCAAATCAAATTCTGACTTACGAATTTTCTTTAATTGTGTTGAAGAATATTCGAAATCTACTAGAAAATACATACATGCAGAAACCCTCGCCTTGCTGACAAAACCATTGTATTTTCCGAACATGAAGTATCTAAGTTGTCATGGTAACACGATCATTTTTTAAGAATATTCTTACAAATGAAAAATCGCCTATAAATATCACTTTCAATCACAAAATTATTAATTTCCCAACATATATATATATATATATATATATATATATATATATATATATATATATATATATATATATATATATATATATATATATATATATATATATATACAGCGCCCTGGTATATCTATATATAAGCGCCCTGTTTTAATGCAGGGCGTAAGCGCCTGATAAAATGATTTCAAATTCTCGCATGCAAATAACTTTGCGTTTTTTATTTAAAAACTTCAATAATTATAACAAAAAAGGGAATCAATAATCAATATTAAAGATACACTGAAATTATATGCTGTCTTGTTTAGTTGTTTCATATACGCAAAGGCCGTCGGGTTTTAAAGCAATTATTATTAAATATTGCATATTTAAAATAAACTTACCTTCGTTAACGTCGGCTCCCTTCTTTTAGCCGATTCTTTCGCCCTTTCTTTCTTGAAATTTACGAACTCTTGCAAAAATGCGAGCAAAAATGAATTATATTTGCAAGAAATTTATCAATCATCAAATCAGGAAATGTTTGCTACTTCGCTGTCGTCATGCAGTCGTTATAATGCAAACTTTAAATTGGACCAATCACAGTGTTCGCTATTCATGACAGTCCGCCATATTTTTTAGATCGGTGTGGATGACCTCCCACCCACAGTGAGCCACGCCCGCGATCATTGGTGAACTTTAGACTTCGCTAATGCTTTCGTGTCCCCGGGTGTAAATAGCAGGGGGAAATTAGTACCCTCGCACGGCGCTTCGCGCCGTCGGGTCGGGGATAAAGAATACTAAGTCAGAGTGTTTTATCAGGTTTAAAGCCACTGCACGTGATATATTATGGTTGACATGATTTGCCAATAAGCTTATGACTTATTAATGAGTGTTTGAATGTGTTTTCAAATTTGAGAGGAGATTTACGATCGAAAAGTCAAAATCAAAGTTTATATTTTACAAATTGAGCTGAAATCGACAACTTTTGTTTACATGCGTATTTTACGTAATTGCGTCCGCAATAATTTTCGCGCCAGAATTTTTAATCAAATCCAATTATTATTATTTTTATTATTATTATTATTATTATTATTATTATTATTATTATTATTATTATTATTATTATTATTATTATTATTATTATTATTATTATTACTATTATTATTATTATTATTATTATTATTATTATTATTATTATTATTATTATTATTATTATTATTATTATTATTATTATTATTATAAACTTTATTTTGACGCGGTAGAATCATCAGTAAAAATTTACATAATATAGATGTATATAAAGTATAGAAAAAGGAGGACTGAAAGGAAAAAAAATACAAATGCTATTTACAAAAGACTTAACAGTACTTATTTACATGATGACCGTGTGTGAATCTAAGCTAACCAACATTCTAGACCTCGTTTAAAAGCACTAAGAGATTGTGCCGAACGAAGTTCAGTGCGCGCTTTAGATAATCTGTATGTGGCTTAGGGACAAATAATGTGTTTTCATTGTTTCTCAAACTGCAAGGACAAGATCGCGAAGTGAATATGTCTTGTAGATATTCAGGTACCCTCTTGTTTATAGTTTTATACATTAGAATTGCTTCAGTAAGCTTTTTGCGATTAAGAGATAACTGGTGCCAGTTTAACTCCTCCAGTAAAGAATTCGAGGAGTTTTCATATGCTTTCGGTGATCATACGAGCAGCACGGTTTTGTAACTTTTGTAACTTACTGCTCAGCTCGCTGCCGATATCGTCCCAAACCGGGCAGCAGTAATTAAGGTAAGGCTCAATTAAGCCTCTGTACGCTTTCACTGCAGTTCCTTGTTTACAAATCGCCTCACTCGTTTGAGGGCACCAATTCTTGAGCATACTTTTTTACAGATAGTATCAATATGGTTCTTCCAAGTTAAATTTTCATCAATTGTTACACTATTGTTTAAATAAACTAGGCAATCGGCTAAAATAACCAGGAAAATAACCAGGAATATTATTTAATATTAATGGACCATTTGCATTATAGACTAAATTTTGATCTAGACAAAAATTTCATCACAGCTTGAAAGAGCATCACAAAATTAGTAATATTCCAAAGTTTCGTTGCGAAATGTTGTAAAATGCGGATATTATAGCCTTGCGAAATTTGCAATTTTCAGTCATTTTGTATTACAAACGGGAAATTGATGCCCCAGCACCCGATTGGGCTGTCAATTTCCCGTACGTAATACAAAATGACTGAAAAACTGCAAACTTCGCAAGGCTATATTATCCGCATTTTACAACATTTCGCAACGAAACTTTGGAATATTACTAATTTTGTGATGCTCTTTCAAGCTGTGATGAAATTTTTGTCTAGATCAAAATTTAGTCTATAATGCAAATGGTCCATTAAGTTAACGCAAATGGGGTTATAATCAGATTAATCAGGACGTTTCACCAGAGTGTTTATAGAGCGTGGTATACATATATAGGTTTCTAAGTTTAAAAATTAATGTAGTGTTTCCCGAGACTTTGTTTTCGACACATTTCTAAACCTTCTTCTTTTAAAAGATTCTGAATATTTCAAAACAAAAAACAAAACTCAACTGATATAATCCCCGCGTATTTGTCATTTCAGCAGGAATATCTCCGGCTCCTCCCAATAATATAACCTGTACCGGATAACTAAATCTAATTATGATATCATGCACCACTTTTCAACGTAGGAGATATGATATATCAAGGGATTTACCATCACTTGTAAATCTAAAGTGGTTGATACCATATAGGAACTATAATCTGTATTATTTGTTGATGGTTCCTGTCTATTATTTACAGAAACTGTGTGAAATGTCGATTTGGCACTTAGATAAGTAGAGATTTGTCGGAAGCGGTTTTCTCAAGGACGTATATGCATATCTGATTTAGGATCATCGCGCGCACAGTAGAACATAGGCTATATCATCATTGCATATCAACTTGGTTGGTTAAACGGGCCGAGTGAAGTTTAAGCGCCGCATTTTCCTGAAAAATACAAATTGTAACGCAAGCATTTCAATTTTATTACCGCATTTAATACTCTACGGTCTGCACTCTGCATCATATTTTTCTTTAATCGGCTTAGCAAACCACTTAGTTGCAGCCAAGTGGATTAGGTAAAAAATCGGATGAAATTCATATAACTTTATTATTGTTCGCGATTTCTGAACTTATTTTGGCTGGGATATCGTCCCGGCAATTATTGGAACAGGTAGGCGTTCTAATAATTAGTTTACTTCATTAATTCGTTCATGCCTGGCATAACACTTATAGTCTTGGTTTAGTGGAAATTCTTATTACGTGCAGGAACAAATTAAGGATTACACAACATGCATGACAGACTCAACCAGTCAACCTTTTGAGCGATAGCGAAGTCTATATAGAGCAACACCACGCGGTTTGATCGAAGTCGAGGTCAGTAAAACCAACTACAGTAATCGATGACTAGGAAAAGCTAATTGCATCACAAAAAAAACTAGAAGACGTTTACCAACCTCGTACCCAGGGCTTTTTGCTTCCGCGCTTAGATGGTCAGCGAAAAAGGCCCTGGCTTCGGCCGGTCTGTTTTGCAACCTGATTGGTCAATGATTTTGAATGTAATTATTCAATATATGTAGGAATAACTATTATTTTGGTGGAACGAGAGTGGGTGACAAATTTATATTAATTAGTTCTTGAAGGACTAAAGTATTGAGTAAATAAGATTTCTGATATTTCGCTTGAGATACAGTATGAATTAGGGAAAAACAATACATCACAAAGCAATTTGGTCCAAATTAAGTATTTGTACATTTTGTATAGACGAGTATTTGCTTCGGTTCAACATACATTTCTCACATGCGTTGTTTACACGTCGTTGATTTCAAGAAACGCATAGCGTTATAGTCAAATAAAGATTGTGATACGAATATATTTGCTCATAACACGATTTATACAAACCAAACGCTGAAGCGGTTTTGTGTTGTTTGGTTATTCATTAAGAATTGAATCACAGGCTAGCCAGGCTAGCTCTGAATATGTTTAAAAGTCATCAATATTACAGGCTATGTTGCTGAATGAGGTGTAAACAACTGAAAACCAAATAAAGTCAACTTATTTTCTTGCTTTCTCTTTGACTATATACGCAGCATTGAGTTTGTTTACTCCTGTCAGTAATTACAATGTATATCATTATTCTATATACGTACTTATACGCATAAATTATCATAATTGAACACCCCAAATACTGGAGATTTTGAGGTCATGTGACCGGCCGATGCCAGGGTCAATTTCGCTGACCGGATCAAAATGCCCTGGGTACGAGGTTGGACGTTTACTTCCAAATTATTTTATTCAAGATCTCTGTAGTAATTACGTCACTAGGACAAGTAGTCACGTGAACAGGGACAAGGAATTGGGAAAAGAGCGATGGAGACGAAAATATGGATCGATGATTTCAAGACATACCTGGTTGCTACAGGGAGTACCGACAAGAAGCGATAGCGCGCTTTACTTTTATATCAAGTCGAATCACGGGTTCGTGAGATATTTCGTCAACTTCCTGATACTGGTGAACGACCTTGGTACAGCATACTTTGAATCCCAAAAACATCATCTTTATGAAGTCTAGAAGTTTCGTCAAGCATGCAAACTTCTGTTAGCATTAATAAATTTTTACTTTTAAAAATTGTTGATACAAAAAATTACATTCACAGTGGAAGTATTATATACCTGATACTGCATTATTTCTATTTGCAACAACTGAATTTTGTAATCTCAACTTTTTAACCAACCTCGCAAGCCAGGCTCTCTACTTCGGCTTCCCTCCCAAACACGCCGAGAGCGTGAATAAATTAATGCATACATTGCATCATTTGCAATGTTTCATATGGGATAAGATTAAGCTTTTTTAGGAGTTTTTAAATTTACTTCCAGGTGTTTTTAGATGTTGCACAGAAGTTTTTAGCATGATGACAGCAATTTCCTTGTCCCAGTATCTTCTTGTGTTGGCATTAAGTAGTTATTTTATCAGTATATAAAAAAAACTGAACAAAAATATGAAATCATAAAATAGAGCACGCATTTTTGTATGATTTGTATGGAAAAATATGTTTGTATTTTTTATTTCTTAACCATGGTAATAATGGCAATGATAGTGGAGTTTGTTTAGATAGAATAAATGGTTACTACTGGTTAAACTGTAGGATCAGTTACTTCGTAACTTTTCTTCATACTTTTTCACTCTTGAGATATTTTAGTTTGTATAATATGCAAAGGAAATAAATCTATGACGTCACAAACTGGTAAAATATTTTCAAAGATGTAGTCACGCCAAAGTCGTAAAGCTGACTGTTCAAAATAGATGAAATCATTCAAATCTATATCAGTATTGATGATTCCATTCGCTAATCTTGCATACAAAAACATGAAGTTTTAAATACCCAAAACGTTAACCTTACCTGCATATCAAATAAAAGGAAATATCTTGTAACCAAAGCAGATATGAAAAATTTGTAACGTGAGTTATTCTACAGTTTAAGAAGTTCTTTCAATTCAAATTAACATGCTGAAACTTTATTGTTGCCAATACTCTTTAAAATGTCAAGAAAAGACATGCATATATATGCATTCACGCAGTTTGTGTAAATCTACAAGTTAGATTTATCCTGTTAACGAATTTTAACCCAAGCATTTCAATTTACCGTATTTAACATGCTACGGTTACATCATTTTTTTGTTTAATTAATTGGCTTAGCACGCAAACGACTTAGTTGCAGCCAAGTGGATTAGGTAAAAAATTAGTTCTAGGACTTTTATTGTTCTTAATTTATTTAAATGATTTGACTGACGATCTAAAATATTAATCCTGTCCTTTTATTTTTGCTGATGATACTACCCTCTTTGAAGTTGTTGATAATCCAGTAAATTCTGCTCAACTTTTAAATAAAGATCTAAATAAAATTTCTGAGTGGTCTGATCAGTGGTTGGTGACCATGAACCGGTCTAAAACCCAATCTATGACATTTTCGAATAAGAGAGAAAGGGTAAATCACTCGGTGCTTTCAATGGGAGGGTGTGATATAGCAGTAGTTAATATTCACACCCACTTTGGTCTCGTTTTTCAAAATAATATATCATGGAATAGTCATGCACTTTCTATCTACAAAAAAGCCTCTAAACGCTTAAACTTGTTAAAATCGTTAAGGTATAAAATTAATAGATCAACTCTTGCTTGTTCGTGTAACAGCTTGATACGTCCAATTATGGAGTATGGGGATCTTAAATGGGATAATTGTACAGTTGGTAATAGCAACCTGCTTGAAAGTGTCCAGTATGAGTCTGCTAAAGTCGTTACGGGGACCATATCAGGTACTAGTGCAAAAAGTCTTCGTGAAGAACTTGCTTGGGAGGAGTTGAGCATCAGAAGAAAAATTCATAAATTATCTCATTTCCACAAGATATTTAATAAATCTACTGCTCCGTATCTAGTAGATCTCTTACCAATTTTGGTGAACGAAAGATCGTATATTTCTTTACAAACTGGCCAAAATATTAGTGAGTATAGATGTAGAACTGAAAAATTCAAAAACTCTTTTTTTTCCTTCCACGATTTCTTTATGGAACTCTATTGATCTTGATGTGAGAAATTCAATCTCTCATGCTATTTTTAAAGTTAAAATAGTTAATCATTTTCATCCATTTAATTATGATAAATGGCGTAATAACTTTTCACTTACGAGAAGAGCCTCTGTCTTACATACAAGACTAAGATTAGGCTGCTGTGCCTTGAATGATTATTTATATAGTATTAATTGTTGTAATTCTCCTTTATGTGCATGTGGTTTAGAAAGTGAATCTGTAAAACATGATCTATTATCATTCCCCGTTTTGCTGCTCAACGTATCAAATTTCTTACCTCAGCTGCACAAGTCTTTGGTCAATCATGGCTAGTGAGTGGTGAGAATGAGAAAGTTAAGTGTATGTTGAAAGGATCTATCCAGTTGAGTTATGAAGAAAATTGTATGTTATTTGGCATAGTTGAACGGTATATTCTGGATACTTGTCGTTTCTTCTAGCCATTATGACTCAATTGTGTCTGTCTTCCGCTTTGTTATTGGTTGTATCTTTTTGTGTTTGTATTTTTGTAAACATTCTTTTTTATGTATAAAACATTTTTGTAAATAAATTAAATGTGAGCCTCCTTGATAAGCCTTGGCTTTTGAGGCAAATATATTAACAAAGTTTATATAAAGAAAATTAAGAGTGCTTGAAGCGAAATCAGATTCACTACCGGTTACCTCGGGGGTTCCTCAAGGAACCATACTGGGACCCGCAATGTTCCTGCTATATGTGAATGAACTCCCAAATGTAGTTAACTTTGGCGAAATCGCGATGTGCGCGGACGATTCAAAAGTGTTCAAGCCATAAACTCCATAAAGTCTGCGGATAATGCCTCTGCCCTTCAAACTGACCTGACAAACATGGATAATTGCATGTCGTCCTCTGGCCTAGCATCCAACGTGACAAAATGTCAATCCCAGTCTATACCCCGTAAGACAATCTCCACTCATTATAATATCAAAGACAAGAGTGTAGAGTCGGTCGAGAGCGAGCGGGATCTTGGAATATGGATTTTGTCGTGATTTGTCATGGAAAAAGCAAGTTCTAGAACAAAGTGCCCATGCGAACAAGTTACTCGGATACATTAAAAGTAACTGATCCCATTTCATTACTAATACTTAATTAAACGAACGATAATGTACGCTCGCAATTGGGGTATGCCTCGCAAATCTGAACACCCCAATATTATTATTATTATTATTATTATTATTATTGATCTTTAAACACGGTAACCTTTCACATAGGTGATTTTCAAAGGGCCGTGCGGAAAATAAATGCATTATAAAAAAAGGAACTAATAAACTAATTTATACTTATTTACAAAATATACTTATTTACTTATTTACAAGATGTAATTATTTAATAGATGATGGACAGATTTTAAATTTGTTGATTCTCTTAGGGTTTTCAACAAGTTTACTGGGATGTTGTTCCAATACGCTGTTCCTCTGTACGAAAAGCTATTTTTCAAGAAATTCGTTTTTGGTTTAGGTTGAGACAGCTTTAAATTACTACTGCGCAGTACGTAACCATTGTTTTCGCAAGTGTGAAATAGTTGTGTTACGTATTCTGGAAGCATGCCATTAATCGCTTTAAATGTCATAAGGAGATCTCGCTTTTTGAAAACTAAGTCAAGAGGTTTCCAGCTAAGTTTTTGAAAAATGTCCGAAGATCTTATAGTATAGTCCGAATTTGTTATTATTCTTGCTGCTCGTTTCTGAAGCTTATATAATTTGTCTAAGTGTGTTTGGTTGTTATTTTGCCAAACAGTTGAACAGTAGTTAGAATGAGGCGCGACTAATGCGTTATACATAATTTTGAGCGTATCTAGGCCAACAAAATCTTTGGCTTTTCTTAAAAGATTAATATTTTTTGATATCTTGTTGCATTGTTCTTCATTTTGCCTATTCCAGCTAAGTCTATCGTCTATAACTATACCCAAAGCTTCCTTTTTATAAACTCGTTCAATTTGATGTCCGTTTATACTGATTTTTGGCACGTGATCTACGTTTTTCAATCGTTGCCGAGATCCAATAATCATATATTTGATTTTTTCGTTGTTTAATGTTAGTTTATTCGCTGATAACCATTTTTGAGCATTTACTAGGTCCTTGTTAAGTTTGTATTCAATATCTGTGGATAAATGCCCTTGACATGATAAAATTGTGTCATCAGCAAATAAATTAGAGTGTGTTGTTTCTAGGCAGTTTGGGAGGTCGTTTATGTAAATGAAAAATAATAGAGGTCCAAGATTTGAACCCTGAGGTACTCCACAACGAATTGTTTCAATATCAGATTTACAGTTATGTAGCATGCAAATTTGCTTTCTTTGATCTAAATACGATTGGAACCATTTGAGCGTGTGATCGCGTATCCCATAAGCTTGTAGTTTTGACAATAGAATCTGGTGATCAATCGTATCAAATGCTTTTTTCAGGTCTAAGAAAATAACCCCATTTATTTGACCCTGGTCCATTGATTTCAACCACATTTCAGTAGATTGTAGTAACGAGGTTTCGGTTGAGTGATTGCGACGGAAACCTGATTGATTTTTTACAATTATGTTGTTGTTATCCAGGAAGGTATTTAGTTGTCTGCAGACTAATTTCTCAAATATTTTGGCGATATTCGAAATGACTGATATCGGTCTATAGTTTTCACATAAGGTTTTGTTTTCTGACTTATATATTGGAGTCACTTTGGCAAATTTCCAATCATCTGGAAATATTCCTGTCCTAAGAGATAGA